AAAAACCCCCCACCAAAAGCTCATTTAAATGAGCAGCGTGATTAAACAAAACCTTCATCACAACTTAGAGTGTTAATTTTCTAAAGCAGAAACTCCACTCATTAGTTTCAACATGAATCTCCTGCTTGATAACACGCGAAGGGGGTGGGGAATGATTCGCTCAAGTCTATAGACAGATGAGTTTAAAATCACAAAGAGTAAATCTTTTGTGCTTGGCTAGACAGAAACATTTTGATCAATAAGGTTGTGTCCTTGTTGATTATGTGCATCACTCATCCAGCTACATAATCTATCCTAGCCCCACTCCACTCATGTAGGAAGACAACTGGAAGGGAACAAAATGCAAATAGAAAGTCTACCCCCTTGCTAGATGCATCTCCACCTTCCATTTCACCCATTTAAACTAAGGAGTAATTCAAATACTTACTAGCTTTAGTCGTTAACATCTCTCTCTCTCCTATGTCTGAACTACCTCAGGTCTAAGACTTGCTCTTAATGAATACCTCATGTAATAAATAACTTAAGAAGTCAAAAATCTGTGTTGGATCTGGAACAGTTTTACAATAAAATTGTTTTATATAGGTTTATATTATCGGTGTTTTGATTCTTAAATTGCTTCTATGTTTTTTATAGGAAGGAAGCAATTCATGAATGGAATAAAATAAAATGTTATTATTTATCATATTCATTTTACCATTTATATACAATACATTATGTAAAAATAACAATAGTTTATTATAGTCACAACCTGTTATCAAAACGTACTGGCCTGGGGGGGGGGGCTTGAAAACTTGACTTCTCTCAAAGGTAGTAGATTTTGTGATGGAGTACAGCACCCCATTTGAAAACTAAAGCAGGTCAGTCATGTTAGCTGCCACTTTAGACATTTGAATTAGTGTTTTCTCCTCTATCTCTCCCTCCCTCTCTCTGTCTGGCTCTATCCCTATCTCTGTAAGTAATAAAAATAAAAGCCGACAATGAATATTCAACCAAGTCAATATATCACAACCTAGAAGGAATGTTGTTCTTGTGAGATAAATTCAGAATTTGATTGTGAAACATTGTGGGGTGAGGAATACTAATTGTATTTTGATGTTGGTTCATGTTCAGATCAACCAGGAGGAGCAAGCAGTTCCACACATACATGCATACCCTGCAGACCTCCCCTTTACTGACAAGCCCCTGACTCACAGATAGCCTGGAGACCAAGCCAACAAGCAATGCAGGGACAGTCTTACGCTCCCCCATGTGATCTCCCCATGTGACCTGCTATTGGTTTCTCAGCACTACCCACATAACTGATTATGCAAATGGCAGTGCACATGCTTCCGAGCTGTCCTACAGAAGGGCAGTTGCTGGGATTGGCACACAGGTGATCAACATGTACTTGTGATAGCTGCCATGTGATCTAGCCAGCTCTCTTGATATTGGAGCCATAGCTTTTAGTTGCTATCCCTAACAATTTCCCCCCGCCTTTCAAAAAAAAAGAGTGGTGTATAAAAACTTCCTTTTGAAGGGATGGAGAATCAGGACAATCAAACCTACTGCCTTCTGTTGCTTCTTGCTATTGGTCCATGAGGGGTAGTGCAAGTTGCTGAAAGATGGATAGCATACAGTAAAAGTTTGAAGGGCATTTCTAAATCTAAATGCAAAGTGGTCATGTAAGACAGAGAGGACATTCAGTGAGTTAAGAGGCACCACAGAGACTGCAGAAATTGAGGTTTGTCCATCCCCAGTTTTTACAGCAGACTTTTGCCAAGAAAATACATTATCCTTCTGTTTGCCTGCAGCGTTGTATTATCCTAGCATTATTTCTCTCTAGCACACACACACACACCCTTTTGAAATAAGGCATGCAAGAAATCCCGTGTTCGTCCCAACCATGGGAATGTTGTGTCCTTATCTGAACTCAAGGATAACGATTAGCTTCAGAGACCTGTGATACTGTTTTGCCTCCATTCTCACTTCAATTAAAAGTTTCAAGGTTCTAATACACTTGGAGCCAGGCTTCAAACTCCTTAAATCAAGCAAGCAAAGCAAAATGCTGGAGGAAAAAAACCAGTTCTGTTCATCTTAAGGCTGCTGTTGGTTGTGACTTCCTAAATCCATTCCAATTTATGTAACTTATCTCTGGAGAGCATTGCTGCAGACTCCATGGCAGTACAGTGGTACCTCGTGTTAAGAACTTAATTCATTCTGGAGGTCCATTCTTAACCTGAAACTGTTCTTAACCTGAGGTACCACTTTAGCTAATGGGGCCTCCTACTGCCACCGCACCACCCCCATGTGATTTCTGTTCTCATCCTGAAGCAAAGTTCTTAACCCGAGGTACTGTTTCTGGGTTAGTGGAGTCTGTAACCTGAAGCGTCTGTAACCTGAAGCATCTGTAACCCGAGGTACCACTGTAGTGGCTGGAATTGTCAGACAAGGTTGTGGAGCTGTCCTCCCAGCACCACCATTCCTACTGCAGCTTACCTGCTGAACACTGGAGCAATGCAGGGGCAGGGCTTGTATCATGTCCTAATATGACTTTTGAGTCCCCATGCACAGTGTGAATATATTTAGGATGAGGTCTAACATTCTACAAGTGGATTCTTTTCCCTTCCTCGCCTTTGATCTGCTAGTGGATGAGCACAATTAGGTATCACTGTTAGATTTTATCTTGATAAATTCCATGCAGTCTAAGAAGAAAAAAGGTATACTAATCATGTTCTACAAATAACTTTTCTAAGGTCCCATCCAGATCCCTATTTATTATATCTCTCTTTTGGTGTTTCCATTTCCCCACACGCCGGGGTGGGGGAGCAGCAGCTAGGCACACAGTAATTAATTAACAAAATTATGCAGCGATGCATACAAATTACCAGAGGGCAAGATTACTCCCTCAAGACACCTAAGTATTAGACAGAGTTGTGTGATCAAAAGCAGTAAGCCACTGGGAACTTCATTCAAGACAATTATCCTATTTGTAAAAGATAACAATTTTGGTGACTCTGATCTGCTTTCCAGAAAAGTGAAGCAAAATAAACTGCATTCATTTGTGAAGCCTGGAGATCACAGAAATGTCAAGGATCACAAGATGTTCACAAGAACTTTATATTTCAAACACCCACCCTCAAGTAGGATTAAACATTCTCTCCAGATGTTTATGCAGTCCTTTTCGAGGGGGGGATCACACACCTTTCTTAGACTATCTATTCATTGGTACCCGTTGCTACAGATAGTACATATGAAGCTTCCTTATAATCTGTTAAGACAACTGCTTTAACTAACTGACTGGCTGCAGCTCTCAAAAGCTTCAGACAGACATCTTTCCCAGCTAGAGTTGTAAGAAATTGAACCTAGGACTATTTGCATGTAAAATCACTGAGCCTTCCTTTTGCCTTCCTTAAAATTAGCTTTAGAAGTCCCCTTTATCCTGAAATGTATATCAAAAGGACACAAGTTGAAGATCTAGAGCAGGCTTCCTCAACCTTGGCCCTCCAGATGTTTTTGGCCTACAGCTCCCATGATCCCTAGCTAGCAGGCCCAGTGGTCAGGGATGATGGGAATTGTAGTCTCAAAACATCTGAAGTGCCGAGTTTGAGGAAGCCTGATCTAGAGTAAGGTAGCATCAGGGAGCACCACATTGCCATGCCAGAGAACTTGATAGGAGGGGGAAAGACCAGGTCAGGCCAAGATTGAAGCAGAGTGTGGCAGCCTAAGGTGCTGGAGGCAGGGCAGTGGAAATTTGTCAATAAGCTCCAGTGAAGGCCCAAGCCAACATCTAGTTCTTTAACTGCCACCAAAATCTCATCAGTGTCAACAGCAGTCATATCTCCCCAACCAGCTCTCTCTCGCTGGAGGTGCTTAAGAAGTTGCTGCTCACTTCCTGGTTTTTCCTGCTTTCCCTGTCAGGCTTGACAGGACTTTTACTGGACCCCAGGTCAATAGGACACCCAGACTCTTAGCTTTCATTATTGTTTTTCTCAAAAAAAAAGGTACAGTAAGTCAGTCTAACATTGATAAGGAAAGTTAGAAAGCTAAATGTGGAGATGCTGTTCTGAGGCTTTGGTAGGCAGCAATGTTGCCAAGGACACTCAACCACTGTTGCTAAGCAATCAGAGAAAGGAATATGAAGCATTACCTATATCTTTCCTGCTGAAGAGTTTCACTCTTTTCCAATAAAACCAGCTTACAGTGAGACGCTCCTGATCAGATACAGGACCAAAGTGAATAATGTTCAAATTAATGAAGAATAGAGGAAAGTAGAGAAATGAATATTAAATGCATTAATGGGGCTCATCACCACAAGGACTCAGGTAAGGGGCTTTCCAGAGCTGCAGAAAAATCAGGAGAAGCTCGTGATTGTCCCCATTATGTTATTTCCTCCCCAAGTGTTCTGCATTTATAGCATAAAACACATTTAAATGATTAAATGCCCAGAATTACTTAAACTGGAGTCTGGAGTCAATTTCCTGCTTTTGATACTGTTGTGGCTGGCATTCATCAGGCAAGGCAACTCTTGGCCCAATTTCTTCCACCACATGGAAGCCTGAGGAAGCCCTGATGTCCCAAAGTGGTGGCATGTATCTGTGCCATGTTAATGCGGCAACCTTCACAAAAGCAGATGCAGATGGTTCAGAAATGCATGAAAGGCGTTTTATACTTGTTTCCAGACTCTTTGGAAACAATAACAAAAATTAACTCCTGAACATTTCATGAATGTTACATCCTTTCCCATCCATTGTGGGTGCATTTTCCTCAGCTACTGGATATTGTGTGGTTTCAGTCTGACACATGTTGTGCATGTCTTTCTTCAGTGGCTGAATTATTTCAACTTGAGAGGTAGGATGGAGGTAGTGATTTCTGTTGTTGAAAGTCAAACACCATTGTCAGCTGGCAAGCTGGCAAGCAGGCAAGCAGGCAAGCAGTCATACGAAAGCAAAAGTTCTAGTTACAGGTAGGTAGCAGTGTTGGTCTGCCATAGTCAAAATAAAATTTAAACATTTCTTCCAGTAGCACCTTAGAGACCAACTAAGTTTGTTATTGGTATTAGCTTTCGTGTAGGTCTCTGAAGAAGTGTGCATGCACATGAAAGCTCATACCAATAACAAACTTAGTTGTTGGTCTCTAAGGTGCAACTGGAAGAAAGCAAAAGTAATAGTGTGTGTATGCTTGCAATTCCCACTACTACTTATTTATTTAGGGCTTCTCCTCTGCCCTTGAAGTGCCTGTGCTTCACTCAGGGCAGATTATAGCAATTTAAGATGACAATGTCATAAAATAACATTAAATAAACAAGAAAAGCAGAGTCCACAAATAAAATATGGCCTTGATAGCAGATACAGATCAGGCAAAGAGACTGCCAAAATAAAAAATGTCTTTAGTGATTGGTAAAAGACAAGTGAAGGGGGGGTCATCTGTTTTTCATGGGGTAAGTTGTTCCATGATATTGGTGCAGCCACTAAGAATGCCTTGTTTGGTTGCCTGGGAAACAAACTGCCTTTCTCCCACCCCAATTCCCAAGCAGCTGTTAGAAAACACGCATACACAAAATAATATAGAATAGAACAAATTAGAAGAGAGAGAGAACATTTTGAAGTGGATTCAGGGTTCCTTGTAATTTCCAAGCAAATTTTAAGACAAACAATAGGATCATATATTCCTGGCTGATTATGCTAGATTCAGGCTCCCAATTCAGTTTGCGTTTACAGATGAATTTATCTAATTTGCACTTTCTGAAACAATATGAGTACTGAATCACAGCATTTATCTAAATTTGGCAGTGTCGTTCTCCAGCCCAGTAACGTATACAAAATTGCATAGTCTAGGGTAAAGTGTGCATACATATATTAGGGGGGATTGCTTTGCAAAAATGTGTATATATTAGGTAACATTGCATGCAGATGTGTATATCAGGAAAAATGTGCACAAAAATACTGATAAATTTTCATGAACTGACCTGGCCTCTGCAATCATCACCCAAGGTCCTTCTTTGTGTGCCTCCTCCATGAGAGGCCTGGAGGGTGGCAACAAAAGAACAGGCTTTTTCTGTGGTGGCTCCCTGTTTGTGGAATGCTCTGCTCAGGGAGGCTTGCCTTACATCTTCATTCCTCTTCTCCAAGGCCTTTGGCTAAGTAAACAATCTATAACCTTTTAAACTGGGAGGGTATTACTTTTGTTTGTTGCTATGGTATGTTTTCTTGTGTTTTTATATTGTAAAGAGCCCTGTGATCCTCAGATGGAGGGTGGTAAAGAAACAACAACAACAAGATGACATGGATATGCAAAGAATAAAATGTAAGACAAAAATATAACCTGAGAGAAATTAAAATGGATTTACCCATCCCTATATGAGTGTGTATGTCTATATTACTGTGACTCAGAAGCATGGCTTTACATTTATCTAAGATAAGAGTCTGCGTATTCCATGTCTTTGCTCCTTTAGTGTTCTGACAGTGTTTTATCCAACCGCCTTTTTATGAAATGATTCAGTTCCCTCTGTTCTTAGTACTACATTCACTTACCATTAATTTTGCAGAGCTTATACCTTTAGCCCTAATTCTGACCTTTAGCTCAGCAGAAATATGTCTTTTAGCTTTATAGTTTCCAGAGGCCTGATAAATTCCTGTTAAATTGAAAGGCTGTAGTTTGAAGTAAGAATGTCACAACAGGTTACTGAACCAGCTACTCTCCTTTTAGAACAACTCCTGAGAAGAGAGGCTTTTGTCAATTCTATTTTAGCTTGTCTGAATCAATAAAATAAAAAAAAGACCAATACATACACATCACAGAAACACTTCCCCTTCTAATTACATGGAAATACAGCATCAAAGTGATGCTAGAAGACATGGGACTTCTATTCTGGTTTGCGGAATATGCTGAGACTAGAAGGGCAGCAGAAATTGGGCAGCTTACAATGTATCAATTATAAAAATAGAAGTGGATCAAAGAGTCACCCATTCCATCCCCTGACCCAAGGGAAGAATTTCTACAGCATTATCCCACTTCCACAGAACAAATTAAGCCAAAGAAATCAGCCTACATATAACTGTTTGTTGAAAATTCCACCCTGCTTTCCTCAGTTCAAAACCGCTTACAAATAAGGAACAAGCATAAAATCAACAATGATTCAACCATTAAGACACAATTTATCAATCTAAAAACAGCAGCACCAGCAATCAATATGTTAAGCAGCTGCAACGGTTTAAAGGGGAAGTTTCCAATTGCTAGTGCAACACAAACAAATATAACTTAACCTTGGGGTCACAAATGTGGTACCCATCACACAGTGGCTCCCTTGAGGACTTTCCCTGGAACTGGTGGAGGTGGGTCTTCATTGGGACTGGTAGGGCAGAAGTCAGGGAAGTCAGGTCCCCATCACTCTCCCTGCAGAGATCTACAAAGGCAAGACCAAAACTAAGGAGGAGAAGGAAGCTGACTGTCAGTGGCCTCCCCTGGACTGGTTGTAAATGAGGCGGCGGAGAGGCGGCATCAGGCCGAGGAAGTTCAAGTTCAGAGGAAAGCTTGCTTAAATGGGTAAATCTTCAGGAGCTGACAGGATGTCAGTACCACTGACACATCTCTGTTTTTAGCAATGAGGGTATTCCACAACACTGGTGCCCTCAGTGAAGAATCCCACCTCTGTGTTACCACAAACTGATCATCATCAGGTCCTAGCAAAATGAAGTAGGTTCCGTTTGCTGACCTTAACACAGGGCAAGTTGTTTATGGCTTTATATGGAATACAGCAAATCGGAGGGCAGGTCAGGAGAGCTCTTTTCCGCTTCTTCTTTCACTTCGGTGTGCATTTCACAGCTCAAATCAGCTCCTGACAAGTTGAACACAAACCAGAACAACCAAGCGGATAGAAAAGGAAAGTGGCGAATAAGAGGAAAAGCAGGGAAAGCTTGGAGATAAGGATGGGGGAAAATGGAGCAGCCATGGAGAAGAAGGTGCTGAGAGAAGGAGAAAGAGAGAACACTGACACTGCTGCCCCACAGCATTTACTACCTGATACTCTCTCTCTAATGGCCTCAGTCTGCATGGTCAGGGAAATTCAGCTCCATTCTCCTCTGTATCCTATTCACATTTTCTGATGTGCATTTTAATATTTTAATCACTGTGTTATTTAACTTTCGACATGATTTTCACCACTCGACAACTTCAAGAAAAATGCAGAGAGCACAACCAACCCTTGTATATGGTGTTTATTGAACTGACTAAGGCCTTCGACACTGTAAATCGTAAAATCAGATGCCCAGATAAATTTGTGAACATCATTCGGCTTCTCCAGGATAATATGACAGCAACAGTCGCAGATAACAATGGCTCTCAAAGTCAACCATTCACAGTGGGATCAGGTGTTAAACAGGGTTATGTTATCACCCCAACTCTATTTATTATTTTCATTGCCATGATCCTACATTTTATTGAAGGGAAACTCCCCACCGGAGGAGAAATTATATATCAAACAGATGGAAAGCTCTTTAATCTGCGTGGGCGGAAAGCAAAGAGTAAGGTTACCATAACTTCCATCATAGAGCTTCAATATGCTGATGACAACGTAGTGTGTGCACACTCAGAGGATGATCTCCAAACCATCCTAAATATCTTCGCAGAACCTTACAAAAAGCTTGGCGTATCGCTCAACATCAAAAAAAACAAAGCGCTGCACCAACAAGCACAAAATAACCCCTCTGCAGTGCCACAAATCCAACTCAATGGTGTAACATTGGAAAGTGTTGGTCACTTCTCCTACCTGGGCAGTTATCTTTCCACAAGGGCCAAGTTTGATGCCAAAATCCAGCATCACCTGAGCTCTGCAAGTGCAACTTTCTCCCGATTGAAGTGCAGAGTGTTTGAGGACTGGGACATTTGCAGGGAAACCCAAATGCTTGTTTACAAAGCTATTGTACTACCAACCTTACTGTATGCTTGTGAAACATGGACCACTAATAAATGCCATCTCCAACTCCAACAACGGGGTCTCCGAAAAAATTTACACATCACTTGGGAAGACAGGTGAACTAATGCTAGTGTAATAGAAGAAGCAAAGATCACCAGTGTCAAAGCAATTATTCTTCAACATCAACTTCACTGGACTGGTCATGTTGTTCGGATGCCTGATTATCATCTTCCAAAGCAACTACTCTATTCCAAACTTAAAAATGGAAAACGTAATGCCTTAAACAAAAGAGGTTTAAGGACTTTCTGAAGGCAAATCTTTAAAAATGTAATATAAACACTGACAATTGGGAAACACTGGGCTGCAAGCGCTCCAACTGGAGACAGCCTTTACCAAAGGTGTCATGGACTTTGAAGACCCTCAAACTCAGGACGAAAGGGAGAAACGTGCTAAGAGAAAGGCACATTTGGCAAACCCTGACTGTGATCAACTTCTACCCGGAAACCTATGTTCCCACTGTGGAAGGATGTGTAGATCCAGAATTGGCCTCCACAGTAACTTACGGACTCACTGTTAAGACCATGTCATAGAAAACAATCTTACTCAGCTACGAGTGATCACCAAAAAAGGAGAAGTGTTTAACTTGCTATGCATAATATCTGTGCTTGTTGTGAAAGTGTGTGCCATGTGCCCCAAAACACAATTCTGTTCCCCTCCCCATTGTGCTTCTAATAAAAAGCAAGAAAGCATCCTGCCCAGGTGTCTTTCAGTCTTCCTACACTTTCAACAAATCACTTCAGAAGGGAAAGAAGCAAAGATCAATATTAACAATAACACTGCCATGAATCACCATGTGCACAAACCATTGTGGTGAAGAACTCCACAGAGGGGAGTCATAAAACTGGGCTTTTCAGTCATGCCATTGCCAAGAGAGAGAGAGAGGGAAGAGAAAGGAAAGAAACAGGTTTGATAAAAAGTCCAATTAAATTGACAGCTTGTCTGATCTTCTGAACACAAAATGCATTCAGGCCCCAAACCAATAACCTAAGATAATGTTGTCAGACAGATGGCGGCTGCTTCTACATATTTATTGTTTATGGACGCAAATCGGTGAAATGGAAACGTATTTCAAAGGATACGACATTGGGATAATCTTGTTTGAAGAAAAATACGTTCTCAGAGCATTTTCATCTACAAAGTCTGCTGAAAGGCTGCAGCAAGCATGATAGTC